GAAAGAAAGAAAGAAAGAAAGAAAGAAAGAAAGAAAGAAAGGAAGAAGGAAAGAAAGAGAAAGAAAGAAAGAAAAGAAAAGAAAAGAAAAAAGAAAGAAAGGAAAGAAGGAAGAAAGAAAGAAAGAAAGAAAGAAAGGAAGGAAGAAAGAAAGAAAAGAAAAAAGAAAGAAAGAAAGAGAAAGAAAGAAAGAAAGAAAGAAAGGAAAGAAAGAAAGAAAGAAAGAAAGAAAGAAAGAAAGAAAGAAAGAAAGAAAGGAAGAAAGAAAGAAAGAGAAAGAAAGAAAGAAAGAAAAGAAAAGAAAAGAAAAAAGAAAGAAAGGAAAGAAGAAAGAAAGAAAGAAAGAAAGAAAGAAAAGAAAAGAAAAGAAAGAAAGAAAGAAAGAAAGAAAGAAAGAAAGAAAGAAAGAACGGAAGGAAGGAAGGAAGGAAGAAATGAATTGGCCGGTGTCAGTAGCATGGGGATGCAGTGTCTACAAGTGTTGGAAGAGACAGGCTGCCCACCTAGCCAACCTACAATTCCAGAACAGGAGAACACCCTTCAGCACCGGAGGTGAGAAAAAGACACTTCAGGCAAGGAAAAGCTATTTATCACCAACAGATGGGGACCACAGTCCCCCACAGTTCATTTAATTACTGTATCAATGTTAATTGCTTGGTTTTGACAGATGTAGTGCAGTTACGTAAAATATTGACGTTGGGGAGACTGGATGAAGGGCATAGCGGAGCTCTCTGGGTCTCTGCAAGTTCTGCAAGTTCTTTGTGAATCGAACATCATTCCAGGGTAAGAGGTTTGTTTAAAAAATGTTATCGAACAAATATATGTTTTCCAAAAAGTAAAAAAAAAAAAAAAGAAAGAAAGAAAGAAAAGAGAGATCAGTGGTTGCTGGGAGGGCAAAGGGAACATGAGGAATCTTTCGGCTGCGATGGAAATCTTCACGAGGATGGTGATTTCACAGTGGCCAGAGCTCATTGAATTGCACGTATTCTTGGAGGGGGTGTGTTGTATGTAAATTATGCCTAAATAAAGCTGATGAAAAATCACTAATAAAGACTACACGGAAAGGGGGGGGGTGGAGGATTTTCGTGCATGGGAGGCATCACCCAAGTGGACAAGGGCTGAGAAGCAGAACAGGGGACGAGGCCACGCGGCCAGTGAGCAAGCCCGAGGCCACAGAAAGCAGGCAATGAAGGCTCCTGGCCTGGGTGCCCCCGATCCCCCTACAAAGCTGGGATGGTGTCTGTGGGGACCTGGAGTCACCGGGGAGACCAGCAATCTGGGCCTTGGGTGTGTTGGGAGTCAGCCCCTTCCATTAGCACAGTTTGGGGGTGCAGAGACCTGATGGACAGGGACAAGGAGCGATGCTGTGGGGCACGGGGACACACAGCCACCGGAAACAAGAAGCAGAGAAAGAAGAGGAAGAGACCCCAAGGGGGGAAAGTGGGCGGGCGAGAGAAAGACAGACCGAGAGGCAGAGAGATCACAGGGCGAACACACAGAAGAGTAGGATCAGGAAGTTGCTAATTCAGAAGACCGGCTGGTGTTAGTCATTTTTCAGGAGCAACCATTTTTGGCTTCCTGTTTCAAAACACGTATTCTTGGCAGCCCTCAGAAATGGGTGAATAATTTCAGTTCACTCTTACGACAAAGTGGAAGTTTCTGGACTCTGGCTTAAGAACGGGAGCGTGTCCCCAGACTCCTTGACCAGGGAGACCTCTGGGCTTTACCCCCTTAGCCCCATGGTCTGCAAGGCCACGGAGATAAGACTTAACTCGCCACCGTCAAAGTGAGAGCCGGGTTCAGCATCCAGCTTGACTCTGGGGAGTCCCAACTTCCTTTAATTTCTGGCTCCGGAGCCTTCACATACTTTTCATTTCTTTAAGGCACTTAAAGAAATTCTTAAGATCTTGCATTAAGCAGTTTTAGGTTTTTAGACACAATCATTGTATTTTAAGATGGAGTGCAAGTCCCTAGACTTAGTCTGAACTTTTGACAGAAAATCTAGGATTATTTATTGTTTACTTATTAAGAATTCCGGGGAGAGGTGGTCCTAGGGTTGGTTCAGCAGCACAGGGGCCTTCCACGGATCCTAGACCTTGTGCCTACCCAGCCTAGCTGTTTCTGCTGTTGTGTTCAAGCCTGTTGCCTCGTGGCTGTGAGGTGGTTGCTGCAGCTTCATCCATCACATCATCATGCTACGCCTCCCAGGGGAGCACAGGGGTAGAGAGAGCAGAGGTCGCATGAGACCCTCCAATATTAAGGGAGAAATGGGATTCCCAGGTATTGCGGTATATTCTGCTTTCAGCATCATTGGCCAGACCTGGTCATGTGCCCCCACTCTGGACCAATTACTGCAGACGGGATTGCTAGACTGCCTTAACCCAGACTTCATTCCACGGCCACCCCCAGCCCCAGGCTTCGAGCACAGCCACGCCAACAGCTCTGTGTGCCTGTTAGTAAGGGAACCAGTGAGCCGTGACTGATGTTTGGCCACATCAGTGTCTGCTGCAGCCACACCTCGGAGAGGTGGCTCTTCGTGCCGTCAGGGCGGTGGACACGAGAACGCAAGCCCCATCTGGCCCCAAGCCTGAGGTCTGTCTCATGACCATCCCACCCCTTTAGGATCTTGCCTGTGCTCAGGGGCACCCTACCTTTCGCTGGTTCCAACGGCACTGGGGGAAAATGGGAAGAGAACTCACGCTAGCAGGATGTTTTTAAAGTTCCCAACACCTGTCTGAGAATTTAATGAATATCATAACATTAAAGACTTGGAGGAGGTTCGCCTGGGTGGCTCAGTCGTTAAGCGTCTGCCTTCGGCTCAGGGCATATCCCAGGGTCCTGGGATCGAGCCCCACATCGGGCTCCTTGTTCAGTGGGGAGCCTGCTTCTCCTTCTGCCTGCCCCCCCCCCGATAAAAAAATAAAATCTTTTTTAAAAAAATTTAAAAAATAAAGACTTGGAGGAGGATTTTAGGCTTCCCGTTTTAAAGATGAGGAAACGGTGGTGTAGGTGGCATGTTTTGCCCCAGAACAGAGGGTTACTTTGTGTTATCAAGTCAGTTTGTTGTACAGTCCATGTTCTGCCTGATCCCAGAGGTTGACGATCAGGTTCTTACCTCAGGCGTTCATCCGGGGGCGAGTTCAGCCTCATCCAAGCATGTTTTGGACGTGAACTTCCTCACTCTCATCAGTGAGAGGAGTGGGAAGGGCAGGAGAACATTCTTCCCCTTTGTGGCAGGCGGCTGATGTAGAAACCCCATGATGTGCCCCAGCTGACACATCCTGTCAGTTGCAGGCTCTGTCGTTCATCTGTCGGCTCCAGGAGGGTGCAGGCTGCAAGGGTCTGGGCATGTCTCCCCACTTGACCACTGTCCTGGCCCTTGGTGCGTCCTGGAATGGAGGCAAAGGGTTTGAGGGACAAAGGGGGTGGGCGGTAGACTTGGGGAGGGGGCCTGCTTCCCTTCCCAGTCCTGACCCCAGTCCAGAAGACTTCGGGACGCTCAGAGAGCGACGTGGATCAGCACCCTCAGCTCTTGCCCCGGACCTAAGTCACACCGTGCAAGTTTAGCCCTAAAAATGGTCTCCTGGGTATGGGGACGAGTTCAGACTCCAGAGGGGTTGGTGGAGGGGAGAAGCATCTATTTGGAAGAGGAGGCCGGGGGCTTGTCTCGAGACTATTTCAGAGCAAGAAGGACTGGCGCAGCCCCTGAGGAAACCAGGGATGGGCATCTCTCTTACCAGATCTTCTCTTCCAGCGCTCTGCCTGGGCCCGGTGCTCCAAGCACAGGAAGGTGAGTCTCCTCCCCTTCCCCTCTGCACCCCAGAGGCAGCTCTGGATGGTGTGGTGCTGACCCTGGGAGGGCCTGGGAGGAACCCCTGAAATTTACCCCCAATTGCAAACAATCCCAAATGTATGACCCTCCCGGGTCTCTCCCCACTCTCCACCTGCGCTCCCAACAGCCCCCTAGACAATGGAAGCCCCACAGGATTAGGCTGAACCCAAGGCTCTCCCACACAAGCCCAAACCACCCCCCCGCAGCATCCCTTGGGCAGAGAACATGACAGTTGCCAAGGGCAGAGTTCCAGACGCCATCCTTGATCCCAACTTCTTTACCTTCAATACACATCACCTAGTGACATAATTTTAAATGATAATTTTAAAATTTCACTTACATTTTTGAAATGTATTTTTCATATTTTTTTCGGGCAAAATAGTAGCGTTTTAGAGCCCTTTCACCATTTCTGTTCAGAACGAATGAGACCCACACACCGCTCTTTGGTCTGGATCTGTCCTGGCCTCATGCTGTCTGGCTCACTCACCTCCAGATACCTGAGCCCTCCTTCTTTCTCAAACACACCATTTCGCCCTCAGCTCCGGACCTCCTCACATGCTGACTTCTCTGTGTCAGATGCCCTGGCCACCCCTCTCTGCTCAGCGTGGGTGATTCACCCCGGACCCTCTGCTCTCAGCTCAGATGCCTCTTCCCTCCAACCTCCCCGAGGACCCCTAGATTCCCACACTCACCCCAAGGGCACTCAGCACAGTCTGTACCTGTGGACTCGGACAAGTGTTTGATCAGTGTCTGTCCTCCCTCCATACTTTCAGCCCCGAGAGGGCAGGGATCATGGGTGTGTTTCTCAGGTCTGTAGGACCAGCGGCACGTGGAGGGCATCTGTACGTGGATAGATAGTACTAAGATATAGTGGAAACGAGGAAGGAAGGAGAAAAGAAAGAAAGAGAGAGACCAGCTCCTGCCTCCATGAGGGATTTTGTAACTTTGATGCCGTCTTCCTGTTTCAGGGCTACAGACCCTCTCTTCCTCCGCCACCAGCCTCGCTGAGGCAGATGGGGGTTTTCAAGAACCTTAACAACAAAGAAATAGAGATAAGGCTGAGATGCAGGTAGAAAGTACAGAGCAAACCCAGAAACAGGTGACCCACAGAGGACTTGCTTTGGAGACAGGAAACCTCATCGACTGAGGTCTGTGGGACGCGATGAGCTGGTGCTCCGCCACACCCCCCACTGGACTTCCCCTGGGGCTCTGCAGCCCGCCCGCCCCCAGCCAGGCCACAGTCATTCCTACAACTGCAGACTCCTGTTTCCCTTGTCGTCACAAATGACATGTCACCCTCATCCACTGTCTCTGTCCCAGCTCGCTCTGTCCCCCCAGAAAGTGGCCGTGGGCAGCGAGAGAGGCCACACTCCGCGGCAGACATGTCTGGGCGCCCAGCCTGCTCTGACATCTCCCTGTCACCCTGAGAAAAGCCCAAGATGTGACCGAGTCCCAGGGTCCTATATCAAGGGGGAGAGAAACTGCAGTGAGGAGAATTCACACCCACCTAGAAGGGACCTGGCAGGGATGGAGGGGTCTCCTGGGGGAGGACGATGGAAACGTTCTAAAGGGGCGGTGACCATTGCGCAGCTCTGCAGGTTTGCCTAAAAATGAATTGAGCATCTAACAGGGATGAATCCTGTGGTATGGTGCCTTTCTCACAAGCGGACTCTGAGAGCCCACTCTGCTTCCCTCCTAGGGGTCCTGCCCAGACCCTCCATCTGGGCGGAGCCGGGCTCTCTGATCCCCCAGGGGCAGCCGGTGACCATTGTTTGCCAGGGACCCGCGAAGGCTGAGACATTCCGCCTGGAGAAGGAGGGAAATGACCTACACCCAGATGTGCGGAACCCACAGCATGAGACGCAGGCCAGATTCCCCATCCCCGTGGCGAGTGAAGACACTGCTGGGCTCTATCGCTGCCTCTATCATAACGGTGTCGCCTGGTCTAAACGCAGTGAGCCACTGCAGCTGAACGTGACAGGTGAGGATGCCTCTGCTCTGCCCTCAGGTTTCTCTGGGACGGGGTGATGGCCCGATGTGGTCTTCTGATGGATGCTCAGGGTTCCCATGGGTGCTCAATGCACAGACGAACCAGGCTGAGTGGGACAGACCCTGGGGGCCTCCGCCGAGCATCAGTCCCTCTGTCCTGGTCACAGAAACAGCCCCCCCCCCCCCCACACACACACCTACTCCTCATCTGGTGAGTAACAGACCTCAGCCTGGGGGCATTGCTGAGGTGGTGGGTGCGCTCTGTGCTGGGGATCAGGCTCTAGGCCCAGCCGCCTGCCTTTGGCTTGGATTGGGAACTGGTAAAACCACAGTGAGGGGCTGCCACCTGCAGGGCAAAGGACACTCACTGGTGGAACTACCTCTGTACCAGGTGCTGTGAAAACAGTCAAAGCTAGCAGAGGCTGGATGTGGGAGGCACTCCTCTGACCTTCTGAGAACCCCCCGCTCCTTTAATGCGCAAAACGATGCAAGTTTCAAGCCCAGGGGCACAAGGCTCTGAAGGGTGGAAGCAGCCCGGGGGAGGGAGGGGCAGAACTCGGGCTGTGGCCACCCCCTTGTGGGCAGAGTCCTACCCTTGGCAGCTCTGCAAGGGACAGAGAGACCGACAGTCTTCCAAACTATGGGAGAGAACGGGGCTCTTGATGGTTATGTCCCAACGGTGGCGTTAGGTCACCTAGAGGAAGACAGAGCCCCTCTCAGAGAATCCTGACCCCACTGAGTGGGGGGCGCACAGGCATGCCCCCCACCTCTCCCCCCTGCCCCCTCTCTTGTTGTGAAGACTGAAGTTCAGAGCAGAAACCCCGCAGCCTTCCTGCCGGCATCAGGGTGGAGATTCCAGTCCTGCCTCGGAGCTCTGTGCCCGGGGACCGAAACCGTGCGTGCCCCAGTTTCCTCGCACGCAAAAGGGGTGACAAATTCCTGACCCTGGGGTGCAGGGGACGCAGGAATTGGTTTAGGCAGGGCACGGCAGTCAGGTCGCTGCCTGCTGAATGCCACGGCCTGAAAAAGTGCTGGTCTTACTAATACTGACCGTTTCTTCTCACACTTTCTTTGTATGCACCAGACACCCACCCACTGAGCGCTGGATGCACACGGGGAATGAGGAGAAAGGGTCCCTGAGCTCCCAAACGTTAATAGCATACAGTATTATAGATTATATAATGTGATACATTATATTATGTGTCATGTCTTCCTATAATTCATATATGTAAATACCTACCTTATAATAGTAAATATGTGTAATTGAGATACAATTGAGATATATAGCTTATGCATTACAAGTAATCTTAAATGATATATCATTAAAATTATTCATGTAAATGAAATTATACACATAAGTTAAAACACAGAACTTAAAAATGTATATTTATATTTATTATATATTACAACGGGTGGGCTCCCAAGACAAGGTGTTGAGGGAGGGAAGTTCCAGGAGGTGAAGTTTTCTGCCTTTCTTAAAGGACATTGAGGACTCAGCCTCCAGGGCGGCGGGAGGGAGGGGGCACTGTCCGGAAGAGGCGACATGGGGGCTCCACCCTGTGCGTGGAGGAGCCTAGCAGGACTCGGTTTGACCACCTGTGAAATGGACGTGCGGTACATGCCTAGAGCGAAGGGCCAAGCCGGTGCTGGAGTGACTGGCTTCAGGCAACAGGAGGATGTGGAGTCTTGGCTTCTGCACTCACAGAAGGGAGATTCGCCCCCATCGGGGGGCTGCTGTGAGAAACAGAAGACATCAGCGATGGGGATTTTTGCACGTGGGGTGGAAATCCAGAAGGAGGTGAGCAAGGGGAGGGTGGAGGGCAGCACTGTCCCACAGACCCTCCTGCAGGAAGGGCTCGCTGTGTCTCTGTGCCATCCTGCACAGTGTCATTAGCCAGGTGTGGCCCCTGAGCTCAGGAAACATGGCCAGTGCAGCTGAGGATCTGACTTTTAAATTTATTTAACTTGTGTTTCAATGGAAATCGTCCAGTGAGGTTATCACACTGGACAGCATGATAGGGCATCTCCATCCTCATAGAAAGCCCCATGGGCCTGTTCTGGAGGAGCCCCCTTTGCGGGGCAGGGGGAGTCGGGGAGACTCAGCCTTCTCTGTCCAGCTCAGGCCTTTGACCGTGCGCTCAATTCCTCCTTCCCAGGAGACCCACAGATGCACTGGGAGGACAGTAACAGTCCCGGTGAGTGAGGGGGACAGAGGAGCAGAGTGTGCTTCTTGGGGAAGGGGAAAGAATGGGCTTTGGGGTTGGTCCTATTCCAGCTCTGCTAAAGCCCTGTGGACAGAGGACTTCAGCATTCAGGACCCTGGTTTTGTAATGATGCTTCCCGTGTCACACGACTACTATGCATTGCAGAGATTTTATACCTAGGTGTGTGTATGATCAGCACCCAGCATACCCATGGTAGGCAGTTGGTGGCCAATAAATGCACATCCCTGATAATCTGCTTCCATCTTCCCTGTTCCCCTAGGCCTGTCAACAGAGCATGTTTCTGTCCTCACTGGGGTCTCTGTGACCTTGTTCCTTTGTGTCTTCCTCCTGGTCCTCATCTTGCTCTATTATCAGCACCAGAAAAAACACAGTAGGTCTCGGGGAGAGGGTGGGGGTGCTGGGAAGAAGGGATCTCTTCTTAATTCACACCCCTGACTGTCCTCAGGCCCCCCCGGCAGCAAAGGTGAAGAGCAGAGGCCCCAGGAGAGGTGAGGTTCCTGAGACTGACCCTGGACCCCCTCCCAGTCCTCTGCCTTCAGGGGGGCCCCCTCAGTGCTCACTGTTCTTTCCCCTCAGGGTTAGCCCGGCTGTTGACATCCTAGAGAGGACACCAGGTAAAAGGAGGGACAGGCCAGTGAGCGGGGAACGTTTGGGAACATTCTAGGATGTTCCCGAGGCGGTGCAAGATTAAAATCTGAGGCTGTGAGTTTTCAGGCAAACTTGCCCTCCAAGACCCACCTCAGAGACCTGACCCTTGTCCCCTTCCCTCCAGATCTGGCCGCAGTCGACAGACTTCCTGAAAAGGACGGGGAAATGCTTCGCACCCCAGTAAGTCCTTGTACCCATTACCAACTGCTGCATTAACAGATGCAGCTTGACGAAATGATCTCTGTTTCTTTGCTCAGCAGTTTGGAAGCAGATTAGCGGGGTGGTTCTGGCTCAGGGTCTTTCTGGATCAGGGTCTTTTCTGGAGGTGGCTGTGAAGATGTGCACCACTTCTAGGATGGCATTCCCCCCCCGCCCCCCGCACGACTGTTGGCAGGATGCTCAGTTCCTCCTGGGCTTCTCCATGGCAGCTGGCCTCCCCAAGAGGGAGGGCCAGGAGCCACATTACGCCCTCACTCTGCCATAGTCTACTGGTCACCCAGGCCAGCCCTGATCTTAAGTGGGAGGGAACTACACACAGTGGTGATTCCAGCAGGTGGGATCACGGGGGTCACCTGGAGGCTGGCTACTAGCCCCCCCTTCCCACAGTCCCCTACCCTCTCTTCAGCCACCCTGACTCACCTGGGTCTCTCTCTCTCAGACCCCTACTGCAGGAGGCCCCCCAGACGTGACATATGCTCAGCTGGACCACTGGATCCTCACACAGAGGACAGCCCAAGCCGTATCCCCGCGGTCCATGGAACCCACAGCTGAGTCCAGCACATATGCGGCCCTCGCCAGACACTGACTCCAGGCCCAGCTGGCCTCCACTCCTAGACACACAGGAAGCCATTCCTGCAGAAGCGTGAAGTGGCCGTTTGGAGGGCTTCCGGGTGGAATCATCCCTTTCTGGAAAGCCATGCAGTCAGATTTCCTGGAGGCAAGAACTGGTGTCAGGAGGCCTCTAATCAACATCTAGGAGATGCACGAACCATGCGGTCCCTCCTAAAATCCACTAGATCCTTGGAGAGAACGTGTAGCCCTTATTTCCAAAGACCCAGCTATGGACTCCAGACTCCTGGCAGTTTCCAGAGACTCAGCTATAGTCACTTGGCTGTTTCCAGAGACCCAGCTGTGGTCTCCCAGTCACACAAGTGATTCCAGATGTGTCCTGTGTATCCCTAACTGCCCCCCAGAGGCTCTGATTTAATTGTCCACTCTAAAGGCCTTCCAGAGTTCCAGAGTTGACCTTGAACCTGGACTACACATGGGCAGCTGATAGCTGAGATGCTGTTTTCTGGATTATGCTTCTCTTTGTTCATCAATAAAAGTTTTCACAGCACCCCCCCCGCCACAGTAGCCCTGCATGGGGAGCTTGGTCCCAGTCTCTGCTCAAAGCTCAGAGCAGGGAACAAGACAAAGAATGCATTGGTGTTTTCTGAACTGAGTGTCCCAGGGAGGAATGAGGGCAATGCTAAGGAGACGTGTGCCCGAGTAAACGTGCAGGTGATAGAACCCTACACTCCACACACACACACACACGTCCACAAATGCATGCATGCATGCACGTACATGCAGACACATACCCCTACATGCACATGTCACAAATATACCCATGCACATACACACACACCTACACACGTGCACACACATGCACACAAACTACACAAACGAATAACACATGCACATGCACTAATGGATATGTATATATGGACCATACGAGGGAGTTGGTGAGGCTGTGATTGCACAGGGAGGGACCCTGAGGCTTTCAGTCCACGCCGCAGAACATGGCAGCCTCCCTTTCCCATCCCTACTCCAGGCTCATCCACACTGGACGCCATGCATTCTCCAAACACACAGCACCATCCAGCTCCAAGACCTTGTCCATCTGACCCTCACTCCCTCACCCAGCTAACGCCCTTCAAGTTTGGGCTTGGACGTCGTTCTTCCTAACGGGGTTGCAACAACTGCTCCATGTAAAGTGAGGGTATCGGTTTCCCATGGCTGCTGTAACAAATCACCACACCCTTCGTGGCTTCCGACAACACAATTTGTTATCTTACAGTTCTGCTCGTCCAAAGTCTGAAATCAGTTTCTCTGCGCCTGAAATCAAGGTGTCCATAGAGCCGCGTTCCTTCTGGAGGCTCGAGCGGAGAATCCACTTGGTAACCTTTTCCAGCTTCTAGAGGCTCCTGCATCCCTTGGTCCGTGGCCCATCCTCCATCCTCAGGGAGCTCTGTGGCATCTTTAAACCCTGCTCTGGTTAGGATTCCTGCTTCTGTGACGCCTCCTTCCCCTTCCTCTGACCCTCGTGCCTCCCTCTTATAAAGACCCTCATGCTTACACCGGGACCGTGGGACAATCCAGGATCATCTCCCCTCTCCAAATCCTTAACTCACTGACACCAGTAAAGACACCGTTTGCCACGTGAGGTAAGGTAACGTGTAAGGCAGCATGTGAACGGGTTCGTCTCCCACTAGTCTGTAAAATGCTGGGTGTTTTGACAGTCTAATTTCCCTGCGCCCAGAATGACTCTGTGGAGCAGAACCTGCTATACCCCTTGTATTAGCCACGTTTCAGGTGTCTATAAACTTGACATCTGTCCTAGATGCATGTGCTGGACATGACCTCAGTCACTGCGTTGACTTCCAACCTTCCTCACTGACCCCCCTCTCCTGAGCAAAATCCTCTTCCTGGGGGTGCACTTTTCAAACACTCACCAGCTGATCCAGAGTGCACACCCCCAACCACCTCCCTTATGAGGTTCTCACACTCTGGGCCACTCTCTGCACGTGCCTTCATCACCCCGGAGCCACGGAACAGACAACAGGGTCATCTTTTCCACTATAGAGCCCACTGAAATTGTGGAGTCCAGCCAGTCCTGAGCCTGCCCACCCTGGCTTGCTCATTCTTCCTGTAGAAACCACACCAAAAGCTCTAGCTAGCAATCTCCGCTTGCCCCGCCGACCGCCCCTGGAGCCCTGCGTGGTGCAGTGTGCCCCTCCTCCTGAGAACTGTAACAAACCATCTTTCAGTAGTGTTGTTGCTCTGTACCCTGACTGTCCCTCACAGTTCCTACGAATACACAGGATTTTTCAATCACCCTACTGCTGACTTGGGATCGCGTTCACCTGTTTGCTTGTGCGGGCAGTTAACTTCCATCACACATGAGGTGTTATGCTCCCTTAATCACACACATCCTGATGGGGACGGGGTGTGGGCATCTTGGGGGCTGTTTCCTGAGAGCCCCCTGCCTTGTGGTGTGCAGAAAGCAGGTCGCCGTATTTCCCTGGATCCGTTCTCCATCTTCTATTTCACATCACATGGTGTCCAAATTCCATGCCTCTCTCCCTGACCCCCCAGGACCTGACCACATGGGCGGGCCTCATGGCTCTGTTACTTGAACGGGATCCTCTCCTCCCTTCCTCATGGCCCCTGTTATTTCTTAATGTCTCCGCACACAGATTAGGCTTCTGTCCACAACTGCCCACTCGATTGCCTAGCACTGTTGCTGATGGTTACAGGGTTTGTAGACAAGACAGCCGCATGCTGCCTCCACAGCAAACACTTGGGATCTGCACAACCACGTGCCCACAGCGGGGCCAGCTATGCCACCAGAGGCTGTGAGGTGTCCAAGACGCCTGCCAGGAGAGCCCCGAGCCCCCTGTGGGGTGGGACGTGTTGTATCTCTACCTGGCTTGTGGGGTCAGCCTCGAGGACCCCACTCACATTAAAATGGAACATTACCCTGACAACTGCTAGGGGGGCCTGAGTGTCTCATTCTGATTGATTTTCATGTCTTTTATTATTATTATTATTATTATTATTATTTTGCTATGGGGAAGGTAGGAAACCCGCATGCCTGCTATAGGCCTTGTATTAAAAGTTTTATTACATATTAAAAGAATATTTTTGAAAAATTCAACCTAAACTCAGCTGCCTTATTATGGTGCAATTGCTATTTTACTTCTTTGCAAATATTAACATTTTTTATTTTTTTAAAGATCTTATTTATTTATTTGAGAGAGAGAATGAGATAGAGAGAGAGAGAGAGAGCATGGGAGGGGGGAGGGTCCGAGGGAGAAGCCGACTCCCTGCTGAGCCGGGAGCCCGATGCGGGACTCGATCCCGGGACCTAAGTGACAGGGACTGTAGACTGTCAGCTCCGCTCTGGGACCTGGGGACAGGCTGCATTTCACCAGCTGGGAGGGTCTGTCCTGGCTCAGAGAGGGTGGGTGCCTGGCTTTTCAACACGATTTCAATTTGTACTGAGCTTTGATTTTCCATTTGTACTCAAGGTTAATTTCTATTCGTGCTCAAGGTTCTTCCTCAGATTGCTACCCTCTACTCTGCATCTTCATTTTCTTCATTACGTCCTGTACTGAATTTCTCTTTTTCATGTAGGGACACATTCTCTCTCTATTATTTTTCAACAATTAGTATATTAGTCAGGGTTCTCCAGATAAACAGAACCAAAAGATTCTGTTATAAAGATTGTATATAAATATATATAAAAATACATTTATATATAATATGTATACATAATATATACATGTATTTTTATATATATTTAAATATATATTTATTATAGGAATCAGCTCTTAGGTTATGGAAGCCAGAAGTCCCACCACCAGATCTCTGCCATCTGGAGCCCCAGGAGGGCTGCAGGTATAATTCAGCCCCAGTCCTCAGGCCCAAGAACCAGGCGCTACAATGTCCAGGGCCAGAGAGGATAGTTGTCTCAGCTCAAGAAGAGAGAGAGAGGGAATTGGGCCTCCTTCCCCTGTCTGTTCTATCTGGGCCCTCGGAGGATGGAGGATGCCCACCCAAATGGGGAAGGTGGACCTCTTCACTCAGTGACTGAACCAAATGCTAATCTTTCAGAAACCTGCTCACAGACTCACCCAGAAGTGATGTTTTCCCGGCTCTGGGGACATCCCTTAGCTCAGTCGGGCTGACTCCTAAATAACCTTCACAGTCAGAATGGTGTATTTCCCCCTAACATCTGTCTTGTTTGCCTCTGACCTGAGCCAGGCTCTCAGCAAGGGAAGAGCGGAGAGCCTGGCATTGGGCGAGAGAGGACTCCTGAGTCTTCTGCGCCCTCCAGAGCAGGAACGGCTGACCAGGTCGGGGTACCTGCTCCAGTGAAAAGGAGTCCCGTGGGTCCAGGCAATGATGTCACTGGGGAGCTGACACAGTTCTGGGGAAATTGTAAAACGAAAGCAAAATAAAGCCCACACCTCTTCCATCTTGGGGACTTGGTGGGAAGAGGAGGGGGAGAGGGCAGAAAAGCAGACATTGTGAACTAGTCTTTCCTTCCTGACCCTCCAACACGGACACAGGCGTCAAGACTCCGGCCATGGGTGCAGGGACATTCCGACAGGACGGATGTCCCTGTTGCTCCGCGGCCCCCGAGCGCCACCTGGAGGATGAGCCGCGTTTAGCACTCCTGGTGGCTTAGTGTGGCCAGGCAGAGAGCGCGGGTCCACCTTGCCCAGGGACTCCGCCCAGTTCCCCTGAGGTGTGCCCACGGAGACAATGCCAGGAGGCCCCAGTGGGCCCGTCATGGTGGGAGGAGAGATCCCACCTGGGCCAGGCTGCGGGGGCAGGAGCGGGTGTCCCGACACTTCCACTGAACCCCTGGGACAAAGGGGACATCGAGATGACCAGAAGGGTCCCCAGGCCCCAGGGAGCAGAGAAAGGCTGGACCCTGTGACCCGGGGGCACAGACATCAGCTGGGCCTCCAGCAACCTGGTGAGCAAACCCCACATCCCCAGGGACCAGCAGGAGGCGGCAGAGGCGGCTTCTCCCTCCACCTGGGACACCATCCTGGGCAAGAGCATGGAGACCGGCAGCAAAAGATGCAGGAGTGTTTGCAACGATTGGGAGGGACTATGCACGTGCGTGTAAATGTGTGTGTGTGTGTGTGCGCGTCCCCTGCTTAAGACGGGGCAGCTCCTGAGTGAGACCAGGTCACTGATGGACAAAGACATTTTATTTCTTCTGCTGAATGGCATTACATCCGGCTCTGTTACACACACACACTCATGCGCACACGCACATCCCCCAACACACCCATGGTGGTACGTTCACTTACGTGCGGACTCTGTAACTTCTCCAGGTTTGAATTTCCTAACGAATGACTTCTAACCTTTCTTCGATGAAACAGAGCAACTCCTGTGCTATTGTTATAATTGCTCCCATGGTTTTCAAGCGTTTTCTTTCTTTCCCAGCACGAGCAATCATCTAGAGGCCCTCCTTCAACTGCTTTTTCACTGAAATCCACTAAAGGCATGCTTGCACGCGTGGGCTTCCATGGCACCCTTTCGTGGTTTGCAGCACGTCCTGCTGAGCCCCCGCCCTCTCCCCAGGGTCCCGCTCAGCTGCTCAGTATCCAGTTGCCCCCTCTGGTTCCACCTTCCTGCCTGGGCAACATCACCTAAGCAAGAGTCACTGATTGGGAGGCGGTCAATGGCAACACCCATCTGCAGTGTTGGGGTCTTTCTCTAGGGCTGAGTTTCAACAGAGCATCACCACCTTTTCCTCCTGCTTCTTTGGGAACCGAGGATGGTTGCTTTCATGTAGAAAGAGAAGTGCTTTTCTGGGGAGAGTAGCCCTGACCCCGAGCCCCAGGTTCCCTGCAGCACGTGGGGGACTGTCTCCGCAGGGGCCACATGGCCTCTGAATCCACAGGGCTGCTTCCTGTGTTGTGTCCATGGCAGAGCCCATGGGTCTGGACCTTCCGTTTCTTTGAGGCTGGGGAACACGGAGGTCTGGGCATCAGACATGTGGTTTCAGGCCAAGAATCGTAGAGCACATGGGCCTTGATGCCTGGAGGGACGGCAGACATAGAGCGCTTGATTCTCTTGTCCTGGAAAAACAGTGGCTACAGGGGCTGGGTCTGCCCTGGGCTTGTGTGCCAGGTCTAAGGAGAGCCCCATGTCTGTGCCCCCGGTCCAAGAGCACACCACAGACCCCTCCTCTGTCCCCTTCAGACCTCACCTTGCTGACTCCAGGACCCCGAGGCAGTCCCTACCCCAGGACTCCAGCTCTGCCTGGGAGCCCACCTGGTGTCCATGGCTCAGCTAGCCACTCCCCTGAGCTCTGATCCTAAAAGGCCCAGGCCTTTCCCTTGCCTGCCTCCTTCTCCTGGGAGGTCAGTACAGGTCTTAGAAGCTCCAGGACACTTCCAGGTCCTCAGCCTTCCTTCCCAGGGTGAGCAGGTGGTGCACGGGACATATCAGAATCCAGTGGATGCTTTCAGTCCCCCCAGGAACTGGGCCCTAGAAGAAACTGTGAAAGGAACATAGGATTCGCTGAACCATAAAGGCCGGTAGAGTTATAGGAGAAGCTTTTGAGAATCAAGGACATGCAAAAGCCCCAAGTTGCTAGAGGCCTGGGAGGGAGGGGGACAGACAGGGAGGAGACGATGCTATGACTGCGTGTCATCATCAGGGATGGGGCTCCGGACCGCCTCCGCTAGTCACAGTCCTGTGTTCTGTGCCATAAATGGACCCAGGGAGCCCCACGGGGGTCCAGACAAGAACCAGCCCCCATAGCAGCCCCAACAGTGCAGGAAGCCTTGCCCACCAATGTTTGCACAAACGTTATTGTTTCTTTAGTGGTTTTGCATCTGTAGACTTCAGGGTTTTCAGTTAGAACCTGGATTTTTTTTAAAGAAATATCTTATTTTTAACTAATCTCCACAGCCAAGGTGGGGCTTGAACTACATCAAGAGTCACATGTCCTACCGACTGAGCCAGCCAGGGGCCCCACAATGGGATGTTTGACAGCATGAAAGTCCCGTCCTGCCTCCTTCTCCCGTCCCCCCAGCCCCGTCAGCGCCCCCTAACAAGAGAGCCTGACCTGACCATCTGGGAGGGAGGGGTGAGTGTGCAGAGCAAGGCCCAGAGTCACAGGATGCAGAGGAGGGCAGAGACAAGAGCATCGTACATGAGCAGAGCGCCACCTGCCCTGGAGAGCGGGAGGGAGACCCGGCCTGAGCGTTCTTCCAATGCGCCACCTGCCTCTCTCCGCACCCCTCGCCCAGAATAACATGAAGTTGTCGGAGAATTTCATGATTGCCCTTTGCGTTTGGGGAATGCGTAGCTTGAGAACAGTCAGCCTGGTAGGACCAGGAGCTAGCCAGAAACTTCCCCTTTCTGCGCTCCACACCATCTGTCTGTGGCTGTCTCTGTAACTATGTATCTTTCTACTTGGCTGTCTGGAATCTATGTGTAACTATGTGTGTGTATCTATCATCTCTTGTGTGCCTAGGTTTGTATCCAGTTATGTATCTACTTATCCCCCTAAGAATGCACCTGCCATCTCTGCAGTCCCATCATCTCTCTGTGCGTCTACCCATTCAACACCTGCAGCCCAGCATGTCTGTATTTATGTCCATGTGCACGTATGTACTCTGCGTGTACTTTATCACGTATCATCTATCTCTATATCTACCTCCCTATTATCTCTCTGTCTGGCTCTATAATCACCAGTTAATTCTAGGGGCGTTCCATCTGGACGTGGGTTCAGCCTGGCTATGTAGTATCTCACTGGAACTCCTTCCAGAAATCAAGGCTCTGTGATCCAACAGAAGAAGGTAGAGCTGGGCCTGTGCCCCCCACTTCCTTCCTGGGAGACCACAGACAGGAGCCCTCGGAGCCCTTCCTGCTCACCTCCTGACCCCCAGCGCCCTGTCCTGCCACCTCAGGACGAGGATAGGGCAGATCGCCAGCGGCTGGCCATGTCCCGCAACCCCACGCGCTTCCTGGGCCTTGGTGAGTGGGGGAAGGCAGGGGCGCAGCGGGTGGAGACTCCAGCGGGGTCCAGGTCAGCCTCAGTCAGCCTCCATCCAGGCCTGCAGGTCCCCGGGGAGGACTCTCCCTGCAGGCCCTGCCGCTCCATGCCGGGGGCCTAAGCCAACCGTGCAGGGACCAGAGCCTCTGACTTTGGGATGGGGTGGGTCAGATGGGAGCAAGGCCAGAGCAGGTGTCTTGGGGGTCACCTGGGAATGGTCTGGAACCCGCTACAGGGGAGAGAAGCTATCTCAGGGAGTTCCTGTTGACTGAGGGTGGTTTGGGGGCCGGCAGCACACTGACCCCCACAGAAGGTCCACCGGCCACCGAAGACAGAGGAAGGAGCCCTGTGTCCAGGAAGGAGTCGGGCCCTGCGGACACCCTCCTGCGAGCCCCGGGAGACCACAGCAGGCCTCTGACCTCCGGAACTGAAAAAGCATAATAAACCTGCTTTGTCATAGCAGATGAGGAACCTCAGACCCCTGGTGTCTGACACTGTCCTCAGTCGGTTCCCAGCCTTCTGGAAACGGATTCCAGCACCGACCTTTCCTTCCAGCGCCTTGACCTCAGCCCCTGACGTGTCATCCCAAACCTGGGAGCACCAGTGCCCAAAGCCCAGCCTGGCCACATTCTGGAGGCCTGGGCTTCATGTCCCAGGTGCTGCAGTGGCAGGTGGTGGTATGCAGAGCTCGGCCCCGGCTGCTTATGTCACACTTGTATCTCTGATCTTTCAAACCCCTGTTCCTAAGAAATTAATGTAATATTTTCCCAACTTACCCTGTGGCTCTGGTGTTGATGGGATGTAAGCTTATCTTTACTATAAAATATATTTGTGTATATTCGCATCGGGGTGCACTTTTCCCATGTCTCACAGTTTAACTGTGTTTTGCAGTGTGTAGAACATTCATCGGTTTCAAACACTAAAACCCCCTGAAATGGTGCGTTCAGAGATGATCCACCTCCTCTGTCCCCTTCACACCCTCCCTCCCGCTCCCACACCGCAGGTGACGATTTTTGTCAGATTCTGGTTTTCAGAGCGAACAAGCAATCTGTGGAAAGGTAAGTCAGCAGACACATCGTGTTACTTAGCTCCTTTCTCAGAAGGAAGTTAGCCCATTCTAGAGCTGTGTACCCCACTTTCTGCTTTTCCAGTTCCTGATGCTCCTGGAAGAAGTCGCTGCAAACTCCACGCTGGAAACAGTGCACATTCACGCCCGTGCGGCTCTCTGGCCAAGGAGTCTGACGGGGTCCCATGGGCTGCATGAAGCAGTCAGCAGGGCTGCGTTCCTTCCAGCGGCTACAGGCGCTAAACAAAACACTCGAGAACAACAAATGGATCAAAGAAAAAAATCGTAACAGAAACAAAAAATATCTCTAAACAAACGAAAATGGAAAGACACATACCAAAACCTGTGTATAGGCTGCTGCAGAAGCATTTCAGAGAGGGAAATTTGTAGTTGTGAGTGCATCTGTTAAGAAGTTAGAAAGATCTTGGGCGATTGGGTGGCTCAGTCGTTAAGTGTCTTCTTTTGGCTCAGGTCATGATCCCAAGGTCCAGGGATCGAGCCCCGCATTGGGCTCCCTGCTCAGCGGGAAGCCTGCTTCTCCCTCTCCCACTCCCCCTGCTTGTGTTCCTGCTCTCATTATCTCTCTCTCTGTCAAATAAATAAATAAAATCTTTTAAAAAAGAAATTGGAAAGATCTCAACTACACAGCCTAACTTTACACCTCGAGGGACAAGAACAAAAAGAGTACACTAATCCCAAAGTTAGCAGAAGGAAAGAGGGAGAGTGGAAAGAAATGAAACAGAGACACACACCCCTGAAAAAAAAAAAGAAAAAGAAAAAGAAAAGATCAATGAATCTAAGAGTTTGTTATTTGAAAAGATAAGCCAAATTGACAAATGTTTAGCTAGACCACCTAAGAAGAAAAACGAGAGAAAACTTGAATAAAATCGGAATGGAAAGAGGCATTACAACTGACACCATAGAAATATATAGAATCGTTAAGGGACTACTACCAACAACTCCATGCCCACAGATGACATAACCTGGAGGAAACTGATCAACTCCCAGCAATACAGAACCTACCACGACTAAATCAGGAAGAAATAGAAAATCTGAACAAACCGATAATAAGCAAGGAGACTCAATGGGTCATCAAAGACCCGTCAACATAGAAAATCCCGGGACACCAGATGGCTTCACTGGCAAATTCTACTGAACATCCAAAGAAGAATGAATGCCAATCGTTCTGAAACTCTGCCCAAAAATTGGAAGTGGGGCGGGGGGTGGGGGGGACATCCTCAAACTTGTTCTTCCAGGCCAGTCTTATCCTGATGTCAAAATCAGACGAAGACACTACCAAAAAAAGAAAAAGAAAAATTAAATAGAGACCAAAGTTTTTACCTGTCCTTCATAACTCCAGAACAATTTCCCAGACAGATCATTCTTACCAGCATCTTTTTCCTTTCGGTGTGTTAATTAGTCTTGAATTTGGATGTCCAAGTATCTCCCTGGGTTTAGGAAGTTCTCGGTTATCATTTCTTTACATAAGCTTTCCGTTCCTTCTCTCTCTACCTCTCCTTTTTCTGGAACTCTAATCATTCTGTTCTGTGGTAGATGCTGTCCCGTGCCTTCTATTAATTTTACTCATTAACTGAATTCCTCGAGTCCAGAATTTCTATTTGGCTCTTTTGTATGATTTCTATCTCTTTGTTAAATTTCTCTTTTGGTTCGCGTATTGTTCTTCTTTTCTTGTAACTCGATGAGTTTGGTCAGTGCAGCTATTTTGAAATCTTGGTCAGCTACATGGCAAAATTCCAAGTCTGAGTTCAGTTACTGGACGGCTGTCCTCATTTTTGCTGATGACATGTGTCCTTGATTCCTTGATTCCTTGTGATCCTTGGTGTTTCCCGTGGCTGTTTTAGCATTTGAAGTGGCGGTCACTCCACAAATCTTTAGTAGCCGTCTTCGTGTGGGAGATGTTTTTTCATTGGTCCTGCTTATATGTGATACTTTTTCCAACTTTTCAAGGATGCACAAAATTCGTAAACTTGTATTTCCTTTCTGGTCCTTGAAACCCACCAGGCTGGCTGCTGGAATCTCTCTTTGTTTTGCTACAAGTGTGTGGTTTCTCTGTTGCCCACAGACCCCAGTTTGTTTTCTGAACCTGCACAAGGATCTGGCCACAGCATGCAATGAGGTGTGGGTTTTCACACTTGGGGAGTGGAGAGCACGCTTGGGTTGGGGCTGGGGGTGTTGGGGGTTCAGATCTCCCAACAGCTCAGAGACAGGCTTCCTGCTGGGGTCCTGAATGCAGTCAATGGGAATCACATCTGTTTAATCCCTTGGATATTCTTATCTGCCTCTTTCCCCATCTCCTGCTCCCCCCGTCTGGAGGTCCTACTTCAATACTCTGGGTGTCTCCAGCAGACCCACACAGCTGGGGAGGCCGGGCACCCACTCACTGTTCTCCCATTCCATGTTGGCTAGTTCAGCCCTCCCCCAACTATGCCCCCCACCCCGGGCGGAGGGGTGACTTGACTGTCTCAAATGCATCTCCATTTCCTTCATTTACAATAAAGGGTCAAGATACACATGTCATTTTGAAATATATGTACCTTAACACTTGGTGGGTGTTTCCCGGTCTCTGTAAAATGTTCAATTACATATCTCTTCGGCTGTTGCAGACATAATCCTCGTTGCTGTCCTTCTGACACAACAAATCCTCATTCTATTCCCCAAGCATCTCGAATTTCCACATCTGGTCTCTCTATGCTGCCTTCTGGAAAATCCCTCAATACTGCATTCCAGTTTTATAAATGGCTCTTTAGCTTTGTCTTGTCCTTAATGGAAATAATTTTTGAATGTATTGGTTTCATTGGATTTTTCATCTCTAAAATTTCTTAATTGTTTCAAGAATTGCCTATTTTTCTGTAACATAATCCATATTCTTGCATCAAAAATTCATCATCTCCTTTTATTTTTTCAGATATTTAAATATGCTTAATTTTATTCTCATATTTTCCTATCCATTCTATTTCCTTGTATATGATAATTCCTATTCATCAGTAGCTTATTATCCACAGCATTGTTAGGATCACTCTCTCATGTCCATTACTAGTGGGCACTCTCCTCCCACACACCTGTTCGTACAAGAAGGGTTTCTCCTGGGGCTGTTCTGGGAGTCGGGCTGACCGCAAGAGATAATTGCAGCTTCTCCTGCTCTGTGGTGTCCACTCTCTCAAATGTCACATCTGTTCAGGGTTGTGTTAAGCAGGGATGGGTCCAGTGCAACCTCAAGCTCACAGTCACTCACAGAAGAGAAAAGCTGCCGTGAATCTGTTTTACATACACATAGGGGAGGTGGCCTGAGTCAGTGAGCGGAGAAACCCCTGTGCTTGTCCACAAACACACATTGGGGAACACCGCAGTTTCCAGCCTTCACCTGCAGCCCTGTCCCCTGCCTCCCTGTGAGGACCCTGGGGTCCCTTTCTGTGTCCACATGGGTGGAAGTCTCTACTCAATGACCCGCTGATGGTCCTGGGAATTGGCAGCTGCTCATCTTTGTTCTCTGTTCTTTCTTGTGGTTCCATGACTATTTGGGGAACTTTCATTTCTCAGTTCCTGCATAAGACTGTTTCTACACATCTCAGAAATATGGCAAGTAGCACCTATTGGTATGAGGAGCATGTGAGGGGTCTTGACTGGATGCAACAAACATCCACGTAGGTTGAGTCTGACCCCATAATCCTCCCATGTACCAAACCCCTCTTAACCTGCTCTGAAAACTAACGATGATGGATCCCCTCCCATGAACTGGGAACCACTGAATCCCACAACTACCCTGAGGAGTGAGGTTCAGGACAACAAGACCTAAATAAGGAAACAGGCTTGAAGACAGGATGTTACCACCCTGGGCCACAAGCAAATGGATAATAGATGAATATTTAGATAAAAGTTAACTTTTCCTTCACAATCAGAACTCTAGCTGAAATAAATGTCCCCTACAGCTTACAGGCAGGACCCCAGGCTGGGGAAGACAGCTCCGTCCCAGGAGCAAGGGGCATCGAGGAGCCAGGAGAGACACACAGGGATGTTCCCAAGAAGGGGGAGGGGTGTGGACGGTATCACAGGAAAATAGAAATGACCATAGAGGTTGTGATAGAAAGAAAGGCCACGCTCCGGAGCCAGGAGAGGGGCTGTGCTCCCTTCCGTATTTGCCTGTTTTCCCCCCTGGGCTCATTGCCACTGTGATTTCAACCTGGGCTGAGCAGATTTGTCACACGTGTGTCTGTGTTGACATGAGCTCCAAATAGTGGCAGGAACGCGTGTCCACTGTAGCATTTCCAGGGCTTGGGGACCCATTCCATGGTGAGGACCCCAGGGATGTGCTGAGGATGAAGAAGACCCCATGGGGAGGCTCTGGGAGGGAAGGACATGCCCTGTTCTCCTCACCTGGATGGGGCATCTCAGGAAGCCTTGGGGTGCACTTGCTATACCATCCTGGACACCAGAACAGGGCTCAGGGAAGGGGCTGTTCCTCTTCCTGTTGTTACATCCTGCCAATGACAACCATGTGATGGGCAGGACC